CTCACTTCATAACGTCAGTCGAGTGTTTGAAATAAATCCTTCTGTGAGATGATGTGGCTTCTTACACAGAATAAGCCACGCAACCTATTTCATAGTATTTAAGCAGTGATAAAGGCATTGCATTATAAATACACTTTATTTTAATTAAAATTATGATAATAAGAACTCAGATAAATCACTGAAAGATACGCATGACAATCGAAGCTTCTGTCGAATCGCGATCTCGATTCCATTTCGATTTATCGTGCAGCCCTAATATTAAGCAATTCTTGTCTTTCCGTCCCCAAATTTAAGACCATTTATAATTAAGACTTTTTGTACCATTTAATTGTTTTCATGGCCTTAAATTTAAACAATTAAACTGAGGACCCACGGAAACCCTAAGAACAGGAACCCCCTGAGAACCCACAGTTCAGTGCATACATTTCTGTCATGCATTTGGCAAAAAGGTTTTGTTTTCTATGCATTTTACCTTTGAAATTTGAGGCAAGTGCAACTCTGGCATCCCTGTTGTTTGTGAGCAGTGGTGTGATGGCGATTTAAATAAAAATACAGATTTCCAAACAACATATGGGTATCCCCTTGAACTTGGTAAATAATCTGTTTGCCATCTTGACTGGAAAATACTGTTTTCATGGTCAGTTTTTCATTTATTATTTGCTAATGTTAGTAAATGTTTATGTTAGAGTGCACTTCTGCGCTGTAATTAATAGGTGAGCGTACATTTAAATCTAGCGACCTCTCCTGTTTGGAGACAGTATTAACATCATAAACTGAAAGCAATCTTTACGTGACTTACTATTCAAATATTTTAAAATTGATCATCCGAGTCTAATATAATCCAGCGGGCCGTACTAAAAGACACTGCGGGCCCACAGCACTGTTCTCCCTTCATCATTTGGGATAGGTTTTTGATGTGTGGTTTGATTTCTCTGCAGTGTTATGCAAATCTTCCCAGATAGTGACGTAGGTATGTGGGGTGTGTTAGAACGAGCCGTTTTAGGTAGGCGTGGTTGACTCTTAACTTTTATAAAGAATATCTCTTTGGATTTGAGACTTTAGTCTTTGCAACTTTACAGATCTTCTTTATGCATCAAGAGCTTGTAACACTCCAAAGAGAAAGGAAAAATTGAAATCGCATCATATGACCCCTTTAATGGAGAAAAAAACCCATTCTGTCATCACCACCATGTCATTTAAAACCTGCATGACTTTCTTCCTTCTGTGAAATGCATGATAAAATATGTTGACAAATCATCTTTTCTATACAAAGACAATATGTTGTGACTAGGGGCTGTAAAGTTCTGAAAGGAAGTGCACTATAAAAGAAGTCTATACAACTTACTCTACTACACCCAAGTCTTCTGTGGTCATACAACAGCGATTGTGTGAGATTCAGTGGTTCACAAGGGTGAAATCCAGATAATAAACCAACCAGGCTAGCCAACTGCATACTTAAGTAGTGGCAGATTTATGTTTTATACAGTGTTTGACATTGTTTTGAGATTATGAGCTGATCATTTTTGTATACGTCTTATTTGTTATTAATTTGTATTTTATATGCTACATTATATCAGCCTTATTTTGGCCGTCAACCACCCTGCTGTTTAGATTCTAGTGTTAGACATTGTTAAACTTAAGTGTTAAAATGAATGAGTTACACATTTAAAAAATACACTGTTTTTTCCGTACAGGACTGACGTATAGAATTGTTTGTATGAAATCCTCAAGTTAAAACAGGCATGCTGAAAATTCAGGCTGTAAACATAAATGTATTATCATTTGCATATTTTAAGATGCTTTTTTTGGTCTATAGATACAGCTCTTTATTATTATTTTACGCATTTTGGCTGTTTTGATGAGTGCATACAGTACATAATTTGAGCCTGCATGTTTTATCTATAGATAAAATGTAGCATGTTTTACATAATTGTAGCATTTTAAAAAGGCTTAAACGTGTTTTAACTGTGGATGAGTAGGAGGGTAATTGTACTTCTGAACTGTGGGAGTTTTTGAAGGAATAATGGTTTGTAGTGGAGCACAATCTTATCAAAGGTTTTTTTTTTTTTTGCGTCTGATTACAAGAAAGTCTGCAATGCTCTTGCATATTATGGTTATCTCTGCAAGGGCTGGTCATCAGATTGAAGTTTCCTTTTTTTCATTTTTTTTTTTGAGGAAAGTTGTGCAGTGATGGACTAAGTCTGATTTTGTGCTAGTTGAACAATTTGTGTTGTGTAATACCATCAACAGAGTATCTGAGGACACAGGCTGCATACGAATAGTGGTATAAAAAAAGGAGTACTATGTTCAAATTCATAATATTCTTAAAACCACAGTCCAATAACAACATGATGAATGTAGTTCATCCAGGTTATATTTATACTGTTTAGTACATACATTTTAACAGTTATTCAGAAGTACCTACTCAACGTACAGTATGCTGTTTACCTGGGTATCGAACGTTCAGCCAAAGAAACGCTGAAATCTTTTTATGCAAATTTCCATAAAAAAAAAAATGACTGAAAAATGTTAGTTTTTCATGTGAAAATTAGACATGGACTAGTACCTTACAGGTGAGCTGTGTTTCATTATCGCCTAATGTAAAAAAAGTCAGCTATAGGTAGGTCTTAACAATTTGCTGGATTAATTACACTATAGGAACTATATAAAAGGTAGCATAACAGGAGCAACCTGTTCATCCAAACAGTCAAAGGGGAGTATATCTGTAAACTAGTTATTAGAAATGTGTTATCGAGATGCTTATTTTGTTTCAGGTGTCCTTCTCATTTTTTGTACTCTGATGAACTCCGTAAGTAGCACATTCCTTTTACATTAGATGAGGCCCGCTAACTCGTGCTGAATGGTTTTCAGTTCATATCCTTGTTCAGCCGTCTAAAAACATATGAGAGCTGTAATTACTCACTCTAAACGAATGACTAAGATCTCATAGTAGTTTTTCACATTTACTGTTGTAATAAAAATATCAGAAATATTCAAAACCAATACAGCGGATAGATTTTTAGACTAAATGACCAATGGTATGTGAGCATTGGTTGGAAAATAACACCCACCGAGAGCCCGTGTGAATTTCCCATGATGCATATT